CATTCTACCGGCGACAACCTTCCCTGGGGACTCCAAAGCCGTAAAAAATTGGACTAGTCCTTCACGACATCCGTTTTAAAATTAAAGCGACGATACAGGGAAGGGTAATAAGTATGGCCCCTGCGCCAAAAAAAAAAAAAAAAAAAAAAAAAAAAAAAAAAAAAAAAAAAAGGTCCTCTGCGAAAGGATGACACGCTAAATTGAGAAATGGTCCAAATTAAACCAAAAAATAATAATAATAACGCACCTTTTTTGCCGGTGAAAAAAGAAACTCCATACACAGATCTGGAAAGAAAGATACACAAAGCAAGAGAAAATAGGGGAAAAGGAGATGGGGGAGGGGGAAAAAAGAGGGGAAAAAGGGGGGGGAAAAAGGGGGGGGGGGAAAGCAGCCCATGTGGCTTTCGATGGTACACGCGTCTTCTAACTGGTCGATAAACGAAAAAAAAAAAAAAAAAACTGGTCGATAAACAGGTTATGAGTTCAAACCCTGGTGGAATCAGATGGATAGCGATACTGTTAGGGGCTACTCCCTTTGCCTGAAAACAAAAAGAAATTTAAAAAAAACAGAAAAAAAAAACACGTGGCTTGTTAGGGGCTACTCCCTTTGCCTAAGAACAAAAAGAAGAAAAAAAAAAAAAAAAAACACGTGGCTGCATTGTATATACTTCTTGAAGATATAGTCGGTGGAACTCCGACGAAACAATTTGTCACAGCCCCCCCTCGTTTGCTGTCCTCTTCTCCCTCTCTACCTACGGTTTACCGGGCAGCTCTGTTTGACGAGGCTACCAGAATGACCCGTGACCACTTGCCCGGCCGGCTCAAAAAATAAAAGGAAAAAAAAATAAACATATCTGATATGATATATATATCGTCACAAACAGAACTGCCCGGTAAACCGTAGGCAGAGAGAGAGAAGAGGACAACAAACGAGGGGCTGTGACAAACTGTTTCGTCGGAGTTTCACCGACTCGTATATATATTGTCACATGATATCAGAGCGCAAATGCGAAAAAAACAAAAAAACAAAAAATCTTAAATTCGTTTTTAATCTTCTTCCTTACAACTCCCCCTGTTCAGAACCTCTTGCGTACAAGGCCGCCCACGTGGATGT